TCGCTCCCCAGCGTGGCAAATACAGCTTTTCATTAGGGCCCTTTTGGGTCTTGGGCCTTGAAAGGAGGAGGGAGTGGCAGCAGCAGAAATGGGTGGCAAGTAACCTGGGGAAGGCAGGGAGGGTGTGGGCGAGCGGGAAGCAGGTAAGGGCAAGGCTGCAGGGAGGGGGAGGCTCCCACTGATCCTGCGTTATGATGAGTTGTGTAACTATTTCCTTATATATTGCAATGTGATAATAATAGAAATAAAGTGCACAAGGAATATAATGCACTTGAATCATCCTGAAACCATCCCCCTCCCCAGTCTGTGGAAAAATTGTCTTGCACGAAACCAGTCCATGGTGCCAAAAAGGCTGGGGACCGCTGGGCTAGAGGGTGGGACTGGAGTCTGGAGATCTATTTTCTGGTCCCTGCTCAGCCCTGAGGCTCACTGCTTGCCCTTGCGCCAGCCACTGACTCTCAGCCTGACCTACCTCAAAAGTCAGGTAGAAGAAAGTGGACAGGAGGAGGAAGGTAATGTAAAACACCTTGGGGTCTTTGCAAGAGGAAAAGAGGTGGGCTGCAGATATATATTTTTTTAAATGACATATTCAAACACTTGCACAAAAAAGGAACCCTATAAAAATAGACCAGATAAAAACACATGTAAAATACACTGATAAGAATGATGCAGCAGCACCCGCCAGATTAGAATCCACTGCAGCAGCTGTAGTCATATCCTCTGCCCCTGAGCTACCGCTCCCTCTTTCTATGAAGCATTTCTTAGCAGCCCGCAAAAGCGACAGTGGAACTCATTGCTACAGGATGCTGGGACCACCAGGAGTTGTGATGGCTTTAAAAGGGGATCAGACAAATCAGTAGATAAAAAGGCTTATCAGGGGATATTGACCAGGACAGCTAAGTGGAACCTCCAGGTTTAGTGATAGTATATCTGTAAATATCAGTTACCCAGGGGGTGTGAGGCATTGTAAGGGACAGGTGCTCTTATTCCATAGGGGCACCTGCCTGGCCTCTCCTGGGAACAGGATGCTGGATGAACCTTGGTCTGACCTAGCAGGGCTTTTATGTTGCAAGGATGGAGGTGGGCTTCATGAGTTGCAGAGTGGCTTTTGAGTGTGTGGGACGGAGGGGTCAGACCAGAACGGTGGGTGCCTCAGCTAGTCGGCGTGTGGGCCCTCCCCTTCCTCCCCCAGGTGCTCTGTCTCCCAACCCCAGTGGGGTAATTAGCCTGGGCACTAATCAAAGCTGACAACAATCTCTAAGCTGGTTGCCTAGCTACACACTCTGTCACAAGGTCTGGGCAAGAAGACGGAGAGGATTCGGAAGAGACTCCTCCCAGCTGTGCCTCTGGATCTTCCGTGTCACCTTCCGAGGTCTCCCGGCACTGGCCTCCCACACTCGGCGTGTTGCCCTGTGGGGAATCCGCAGTGCCTGGGTCCAAAGCCAGGCTGCCCGTCCTGCCAAGGCTCAGGTGCCACAGACTTTGGTCAGGCGCTGCTGCGGGGAAGCTCACCGCTCAGTTTCCAACCGGGCATCGCTGCAAGAAAGCGTGCGGTGTTCACTGCCGCCCCAGCCCCTCTGTGGTGGCATCCTGGCCACCGACAGCTGCTTACCCTTGAGGCCCCAAGAGAGAGACCTGATCGGGGCTGAGCCCAAGAAGCATCCGCTCCTGGAATCTATTTAGAGACCAAAGGAATCAGCACTTTGCCAGGCAAAAAATAAATCAGAGAGCTTCTCCATTACTTGTGCCGCCTTGGTTAGTTCAGCCATTAATTTTAATCAGACCACTGTCACACTTTTCTGCATGCCAAGTGCTTTACAATCCACACGGCATTTATCCCGGTAATAGTCCTGTAAGCTTGGCCAGGCCAAATTGTAATAACAATCCAATACTTTGCATTTAAGTTAGCACTTCAGGAAGTTCAAAAGTGGCACTTTAATTCATGTATTTATATCTACAACTATATCCATCTAGAAAGAGATACACAAGTGCTGCCTCATCCAGGTATTTTTTGAGGTGGCTTTCAAGTAATTCTTCACCTTCCTTGTTTTGCTGATCCTTCCAACAAATAAATGTGGTAGCTCAGCTCTCTTATTACTCCTTATTACAGAAGTGTGCAGTATTAAAACTGAGAGGCTAGTTACTTACCTAAATCTATTTTGTGAGCTCATGACTGAGGAGATATTTGAACAAGGGGTTCCTTGGCTTGTGCCTTGTATACTTAGCTGCTGTCTTACTTCAGGTATTGTACAAAACCGGGAGCAAGCCAGAGAGTTTCCTAAGTGGGTTGTACGCACACCATTGAACATTCAAGACAATAATGGGAAAGTATCCGGTGACACATTCCAAGCTAACAGACTGATTGTGGCACAAAGTTTATGATCTCACATTCACTTCACTCTATGCACACAGTGAAATTCCGAGTTGATAAATATATACATATTTACGCACACAAGGGTACAAAGGAACAATAATAAATGGTAGCACCATTTTCCTCCTCAGTGTTGGAGGTGTGTGTGTGCATTGAGCCTAGATTAAGCCATGGGCTAGCAGGACTGCAGTTTCAGGCAACCCAAATAGCTTCTTCCTTCTGCCATATCCTGCCTTTTTTCTTCTCTCTAGGAAACTAAGAAGGCTGACATAGTTCTCATCTCCATTTTCTCCTCACAACAACCCTGAAGTGGGTTAAGCTGAGAGTCAGTGACTGGCCCAAAATCATTCAGCTAAAAGGCCAGCGAGTGACTCCAACCCGCATCTCCCCAGCATCAGCCCAGGCTTCCAACCATTACACTGCACTAGCTCTCAGGCATTCTCCTCTCTTCCCATTTACTCTTTCTTACATGCCTTTCCTTCTCCTTCTTTACTGCTCACGTGCCTGAAAAGCATAAGAAAGTGGGCAAGAGTTCACGCTGTTGGGGCCCATTGCCCAGGAATGGAATAGCTGATGTTACAGACCCTTCTAAATAGCACATTCCTTTGAGAGAAGCAAACCTGTCTTTGGTGTATCAAAGGAACACTTAGACAGACATAAGCTAATGTCATGCTGAACACGTGGTCCTCAAGGGGGGGCTAAGGGAGGGCCTCTGGTGTTCAGAGAAACCTGCCCATAATCAAGAGGGATGAGACCTTTCTTTCAGGGATGGCATGGAAGACCGTGTTCCCATCCGGACACTTGGCCAGCTCCCCCCCCGCCCACGCCCAGTACGTGAGGCAGTGCTCTTTGATTGCGTGCAGGGGCCATGTGTGAGAGGTCTGAGTCGGAAGCCAAGTCGGGGGCTCACTGCAAATCCTAAGCCATGACCAGATCCAGCATGCCTGCGGAGAATGTGCTCCGTGTACTTGGTGAAAGGGGCTCTAAACCATGAAGCGTTATGCCACAAGCAACCCATTCGTCTCCCAGGTGCAACAGCGTGCTTGCATTTTGTTGGCGCTCTCCATCGAGCGCGTGAGGTTTCCCCCATGCCGGACGCATCTTCCACCAGCACCTCTCACCCTTGCTCAGCAGCCCTTCTGCACCCTTCCATGCCAGGCTTCCATATCAGTCTGCAGCTTTCTCTCCACGGTGCTTGGAGCCCTCAGATTTCCTGTTGGGGCATTTGCCTCGGAGTACTTGGCCAGCTGTCTTCATGTTACGCTCAGGTTTAGGCTGCAGCTACCCTGAGTATATGCTTGCTCTGCTATGTTAAACAAAATCTAGGCACTGCCCACAGGCATGGCCGCAGCTGCCTAGAGACCTCAGAAGCATGCCGCCCAGGTTTCCAAAACCCAGAGAGTATCCGGAAAGAACTCTTGCCCACTGGCAGTCAAGGGAGAAAACTGGCTGTATGTGTTTGCACACAGGTGCAATTCCAGGGGGTCTTGGAAGAGCAATGCAGGGGCCAGAAGGGCCCTGAGAGCCACCCAACCCCACTTGTGTCCTCTATATGCTGAACCACACTTTTATCATCACACCTGATTCCCACGCCTGTTCTGGATTAGATTAAGCTATGGCAGCCAAACTCTAATTTGTTCAGTATCAGAAAGAAAAAGGGGAGAAGGAACCTTATGCCTACCAGAATTGCCTACACAACCCTTGGAAAAAGTTTACTTTTAAAAAACAGGAGGGGGCTCAAGCCACAGAAGAAGAGAGATATTCAGTCCCAGGGTGCACTCGGTGCATTGGCAAATTCTCGCTATGGGGATGGTGGACACAGAGAGTGAAGAAAGCAGACAAATCAACACAGCGGGAGGCCAGCAAGACGGCAGGGCAGGGTTAGTGGCAGATGGAGGTAGCAGAGGAGAAGAAAGGCACAGGGGCTGCTCTCCAGTTGTTTTGGACTACAGTTCCCAAAAGCATGACCATGGTCAAGAATGAAGGAATCTGCAGTCCAAAACATTTGGAGAGCTCAGGGTGGCCTGCGCCAACCTCAGGCCGTGGGTCGCTTGGCTTTCTTAGTCTGCCCTGTCAATGCCAGGCAGGACAGGAACAGGGAGAAGTGTCTTGGCCCCTGATTAAGACATCTCCCTGGCCTAGCTCTGGGGACAGGCGTAAATCAACCAGCCTGGCACCAGGCATAAATCCAAGCCTTGCTCCAAAGCACCCACTCTGTAAATCTCTGCCCTGCCTGCGCAAGGGGTGGGGGAGAGTGGCTCTGGCGCTTTGCCACATGGGCAGCATCCATGGCTGATGCCCTGAGCTTCCCAGACCATACCCCTCCACACACAGAGATGCAGCCTCCCCCCCCCCCCCCCCCCCCCCCCCCCCCCCAGAGAGGCCCCCCCCCCCCCCCCCCCACACACACACCCAGTGCTCTATCAGGCTTCCTGCCTGCCCCCCTCCCTGGCTCTCCCCGTAGTCCATTTCCGACCCTTGTCCTCCTGCTGGCGTCCATTAATTGTCCCAGAGCGCTCCACGGGGGTGGCCATAAAGGGGGTGGGGGCAGGCAGGAAGAAGCAGGCACGGGCTATTGTCCCCCTCTTCCCATGGTAGGCCGGAGAGCGCGAGCGCGCTGCATTCCTACCTGGGGCGCTGTCCACGGTAGGGAGGAAGACGGTGCCCGAAGAGGCGTCTCTGGGGAGGGCGGGCAGAGCCCCCTCGGCGAGAAAGCGGAGGCAGAGGCGAGAGATCCAGATCAGCGATGGGTTCCCAGCGGCCGAGCCATCCCGGAGGCAGAGACCCAGCAGCAGCCACGGAGAGACGCACGGGCGGATGCGGGAGACCGTGGAGAGGGACAGCCCTCTTGGTGGTGGAGGGATCCCGGCTGGGAGGAGGAAGAGGAGGAGGAGGAAGCAGTTTCGCCTTGCAGAGGCCGGGGGGTGGGTGGGGGGGAGGGGGGAGAGCCTGACACTGGCTCCCAAGAGAGCCAAGAAGTGTGAAGGAGATGCCGAGCGGGGCACGATGGTGGCGGCGGCGGCTGGGATCTCCAGAGAAGGAGCTGCTGGGCACCGGGCGAGAAGGCAGAGGAGACCGCGCAGCGCCGAGAAGGGGGAGAGAACGGAAGGGAAGGGAAGGGAGGGGCCGGTCTGTCCGCCTCAGTCCGCCTCCCCCGCCTGCCTGGGCGGCTGTCGCTGCTTTCTCCGGAGAAGGAGGAGGTGGATGGATAAAAGATGATGAGGAAGGCGGGGAGGGGCCTCTGCCTGCGTGTGTAAGAGAGAGAAGGAGCGTGTGTGCGCGTCCCTAAACCAGCGGGGCAGGGACGGGGCGCCCGGCAGCCCCGGCCCGGAGCAGCGAGCCAGCCGCGGCGCGAGCGAAGCCCCCGCCCGCCGCGCCGCCGCCGCCGCCGCCGCCGCGCGGAACTATCCAGGGTGCAGAACTGCGAAAGGGCGGCCCGCGAGTACGAGCGCCGGAAGGCGGGCGGGCGGGCGCGAGGCGAGGCGAGGCGAGGCGCGAAGAGTTGCATATAGATTCCGCGAACGCCTCTGAGTGCCTGTGTGACGGCTGGGTGGGCGGGTGGCTGCCTCTTGAGTGACGGTGTGAATGCCGCCCGTGCGGAGCTGCTGGGGAGCGGGGAGGGGGCGGCGCCTCGGGGCCATCCGTGGGCTTCTGGTGGGGATAAGCGTCCAGCTCTTCGGGGGCTGGTTGCAGAGTCGCACCCCCCCCACACACACACACACTCCCCACAGAGGCACTGTAGGAAAAGAAATGCCCATGGGGCTGAGACTTGTGTTATACACAGGCCCACCTCTTCCAAGCGTCCTTAAGAGCCTGGAACTCCCCACTTGCGAGTGCACTGGGCGGAAAGCAGCTCTCAAATGGACAGAGTGCACGCAAGTCAGTGGAAGCTTTACTTCCAAATAGTGAATGGTAGTTCAGAGAAGGGGTCAAGTCTACACCCAGGCTTTACAGCTAGCTTGGAGCCCTGCTGTGCCAGACAAAGGATCAGAGCAGCAGGGGCCCTGAGGCCTCTTCTCCTCCCTCCTGCCCCTCACCTCTGCTCCTTGGGCCTCTCACGGAGGCTCCGGAGGACACCAAAAGGAGCAGAGTGGGAATGAGAGGAGACCAAAGGGCCCAAGAGACACCCGGGCAGTTCTCAGAGGCTTCCCGATGATGGTGCTAAGCAGGATACAGCCCATCCCTCACTCCTGTTGCTCAATGTGACTGCTCTTAGCAGTAGGAACAAGTTTCCTGGGCCTCTTCTCAAGCACACTCAGGAAAAGATGGCTTATCCACCATTTTTGCTTGCTGTGGCACTGAACTGAGCAGGGTTGGCACATTCTCCTGGAGCACATTCTCTTCCCAAGGAGACTCAGTAGAATGCAACTTTCCCCTCACTATCACAATCCCAAAAATATTGGCAGGAAGAGGGGAGACTTGGCAGAATGTGCCACAGCTTCACCTTTGTGGTACCTTGGGCAGCTGTTAATGGAGATACGTGGCTCTGGCCAAGCACCTCTGTAAGCTTCAGGACTTCATCTGGGCTTCTTGAGTTATCTAGGCTCAGATGTCATAGCAAGCCCAGTGGTCTACAAAATCCTGCAAGAAGCCATGGCTTGTTGGGGTTGCTTCATAAGCGACCTGGGGGAGAGGGTGGCGGTAAGGTTGAATAGCACACTAAGACACAATGGTGGCTTAGATGGTCATGCAACTCCAGGCAGAGGGAGAGAAAGTTTAATTACTTGTGCAAAAGGGTGGGGCACTGGTTAAGGTGTTGGATTTGGACTCAGGAGATGCAGGTTCTGGTCATAACTCAGCCCTGAAGTTCACTGGGAGATTTGTGGATAAGTCTCACAGCCTAACCTACTTTACAAGATTGTTGCTGTGAGGATAAACTGGAGAAGACCCTTGATAGCCACTTTGGGTTCCATATAAGAGAAAGAAAGGTATGGATGTAATAATAAGAATAATGGGGTTTTTCAGGGGTAGCACTTACCATATTTTTCACTCTATAAGATGCACCTGACCATAAGACGCACCTAGTTTTTAGAGGAGGAAATCAAGAAAAAAATATTCTGAATCAAATGGTTTACTAAACTATTTAATAAACTATAACAGAATATAGTAATACCATATTTCAACCTTGTAAAGTGAACAGCAGTCAACAGTGGCATTAAGAACCATCATCACTGTCATTAACAAAAGAGAGACTTTAAAGTTCGAGTACTCTTCTAGTTTTCGTTGAACCCATAGAACTCATCATCACTAGAGTCAGAATTTATGAAGCTCTGTTGCTCACAATCACTGACATCACTTTCTTAGTCAGTAGTGGAATTATTGAAGGAATCCACAATCTACACCAGTTATACAAGAGCTGCTGCAGACAATTCAATAACATATCTAAAAAAGCCAGTAATGTCCACGCTGCCCTACTAGTAAATAATAGAAAAAAACTTCCGACAAAAAATGAGATATTTTATGGTAAATCAAACACACAGCGGACTAAGTAGCCTTTGAAGAATAAACTTCATACACAAAGGTAATGCTGTTCAAATATCCACTGATCCTAAAAAAAAAATGTGTCTGATCAACTAACAGATAACTGATCCATGGAAAGCTTCCTGATAATCACAGGCACGTTCCCCATCACTTCCCCGTGGGCTTCCTTAAAAGACGGGTTGCCATTTGAAAACACACACGGACCTGTGATTAACAGTTCTCACCTGCGCCGGAGGAGGGGGGCAGAGCAGGGTGCGCCAAGCGTGTGCCAACCAGGTGGTGCCACGTGGGGCCAGCAGCGTGCCGGCGGTGGTCTTCCGGGCGGCTTGGTGGCAGGTCTTCCCAGGCGGTGGGGATGAGCAGTTCCTGGGCGGTGGGGGTGAGCAGTCCGTCTCTCCGTGTGGCCGGCGGGTTAAAGCCCGCACCTCTCCCCCTGAGCGGCACAGCTCTCACCTGCACCGGAGGGGGGGGGCGGAGCAGCGCGTGCCGAGCGTGTGCCGGCCAGGTGGTGCCGTGTGGTGCAGGTGGGCCGGCAGCCTCCCGGGCGTCGGGCACACACACATTCACTCTATAAGACGCCCAGACATTTCCCCTTACTTTTGAGGGGGGAAAAAGTGTGTCTTATAGAGCGAAAAATACGGTACTTTGTAGAACTTCTGCACTAGTGAAGGGCACTTCCTTCAGCCGTATTTCTCAGCTAACTCATTAGCCATAATTCTGCTAACTCTGCTCACTCATTAGCCATAAATCATAGCTTTGATTTGGGACTGCATTTCCAGCTAAGCCAATGGTTATGGTGTTTAATAAAAGACAGCCTTTTTAGATCATTTTACACTCTGCTTGTGTGTATTACTTCTGCATTTAATTTGATGTCCATGCTCTTTTATGTTCTTTCAGCACATGTTTGAGTGTGACTGATTGAGGCAGTGCACAATAATATATTTATTTGTGTCATCACGAATGCATCTCTGCTCAGAATTATGAGTGCAAATGATGGTCTGGGTCATCTTTCCCTTATGCATCAGGCAGACAGATTGATTGTGTATGGTTGTGTCACACTGTGGGAGTGCCCCCTGCATATAAGTGTGGCTGCATGCCAGAAGCTGATGGTGACTACACGCCTCTGTCAGTTATACAGGATCACGTTTCTGACTGTACTTGGCTATACCTCCAAGAAATGTTTCAGCTAATGCGCAACATCACCCCGTCCCATCTAGATACATCTGGGGGTTGCTGTCCCCGGGCTGTGTGATGGTGGCTCAGCACCTGTGTACCAGCCATTGGCTTGTTTCTTATGGAGTTATTATCTGAGGTTCTGTAGAGATCTGGACATTTGCCTATCAACCCTTTGTTGTGTGAGGTTCTCCAGGCTCTCTACCTGCCTTGACATCTTTATGCCCCAATTAGGTGCCCACTATTTCTAGTGAAGATGCATTGACAAAAAACAGAGGTGCTGGAAAATGTGCACACCAAACACACCTGCATAGACACACCCCTCCATGTAAACCTCTTCCCTCTCACCTCCATCTTCGCACGTGATCTTCCCTTTGCCTTTCCAGGGGGGCATCCTGGGGGACCGGTGAGGTGCCGTGTGTCCCTTGGGAGGGGTCTGCCATGCTGCTCTCCTTCCCTGCCTCCAACATGGAAAAGAGTGCCACCACCCCGCTCATTTTCCTGTCTGTCTGTCCGTCCGTCCTCTGGGATTCTTGTCCCTCCACCCTCAAAGGATTAGGCAGATTACTGGATTATCTGCTCTCAGCAGCCATGTGCTTTGCTGAAGCAGCCCAGCATGACTCATTAGCCATAACCACCACCCTCTGCCCTAATTTGCAGAGGCTGGGAAGGGAGACCAGAGGTGGGGCTGCTCCCTCATAGGCTGTGGTGGCCCAACGGGGGGCTGTGGGCTTGTTGGAAAACACACAGCTGGGCCATTCAGGCTGGGCAGGCAGAAGCAGCCGGCAGCGCTCTCAGCACGAGCCCGTGTGGCCCAGCCTTCCCCACACCGGTGTCGGCAGTGATGTGACATGTTTGGATAGCCGTGGGAGGACGAGACGGCTTTGCTCTGGGCTCGCTGTCCTCCGCTGCTGACTCAGGAACCGGGACTGGCTTTGGCCACCCCACTGTGCGCACAGCCCAACAGCTGGTCTCCCGCAGCAACACATAGTGCTTACAGAAATGGAAACAGGGGTCCCAAAATGCACGTTTGGGCCGGATGTGGGTTCCAGATCTGAGGAGCTTAAAGACGACGGCCGAATTCCATCTTGGCTTCAGTACTCAGAGTGTCTCTGCTTAGAAATCAAGCACTTCCCTGTCCCACCATGCAAGGAGCCGGTGTGGCGCAGTGGCGAAGAGGGTGGGGGCTCCAGTCCCCGCTCAGCTGTGAGACTTTGTGGCTTTGGGCCAGTTGCAGCCTCTCAGCCCAAGCTACCTCACAGGGTTGTTGTTGAGGGGATGAGATTGAGAGGAGGGGAAGAGAATTATGTAAGCTGCCTGGAGTTGCTTCAAAGGGAAAAAGGAAGGATATAGCTACAATTGAGAAACAGACAAATAAATAAAGTAGTGCTCAGAGAAGTGGAAACAAACAGCTGCAGTGCTTACCCCCATGTGGCAATGAAGCCTCCATTTTGCTTGCTTGCATGCTTGCTGGCTGGCTTGCTTCCTTCTAATGAAGAGCACTTTTCCCCTACAGCACACACAGCTCAGACCGGGGTTTGCTTCACACACATGTGCACATGCATGCACGGCCACACACAAGCAAGCACACACGGGTGTGGGGATCCACTTCCCTGTGGGGCTAACCCCTGCAGCCACAGGATGAGCATGAATTTCATATCCACATGGGCAGGGAGGGTGCGTGTGATCACACAAGTCTTCCTCATGCAGTTTCTCACCCTGGAAGGCAACAACGGGGAAGTAAAGACTTCCATGATTGCCCATCAACACTCAGATGACACAGCACCCAGCACAGCCTTGATGCTCCATTGTGCCAGAGTTTGTCAGGGAAGGCTTAGACAAGGCCTGCCCAGTGAGTCATCAGGCCAACTCCTTGTCTTAAATTGGGCATCCCATTTAACTTCTGTTTGAAAAGTATCCAAGGAAGCAGCTCCTATGCCTTCCCAGGTAACTTCTTACCCTTTCTGTCTTTATCAGAAGTGGGCAACTTCAGCTGATTCCAAAATCTCTCTGCAAACAAGCTCTCTGACCTCTGGCAAAGCAAGATCAGACCCCTCCATGGAGAGGTGGAGGGGACAGGCAGAGAAAAGAGGCTCTCTGTCAATCTCTCTTTCTTTCACACACACACACACACACAAACAACCAGTACCACAGAGAAATAAATCAAAGGGCACTTTACACAGAAAGGGAGAAAAAAGGGAAGAGAGAAGGGGGTGTCAGAGAGAGAGAGAGAGAGAGAGAGAGAGAGAGAGAGAGAGAGAGGAGGGTGTCATATAGAAAAAGAGAGAGAGTCCTGATACTTGTTCCAAATGTAACTGCTATAAACCTCACTAAGTAAAATAGAGCTGCAGCCTAAATACTAGGGAGTGAGCCCCGTTGAGACTTACCTCTGAGTGAACATGCATCAGATTTTGCCATTAGAAGGCAAGCCAGTTTCTCTCACTCTTAGTTCCACATCAGCCACAGGGAGATAAGAGGACTAACTTCCCTTGCAGGGTTGGTGTAGGCAGTAAAGCAATATAATGGCTGTGAACTGGCTTGAACATTCTAAATGCACTCTGTAAATGCTGCTGCTGCTGCTGCTGCTGCTGCTGCTGCTGCTGCTGCTGCTGCTTCTCCTCCTCCTCCTCCTCCTCCTCCAAGGTATGGGGGCACTCAGGAACATAATTTGATGTGGCTGTTAAATCTCTTTATTTTTAGATTTTACAAATTTCACCCTGAAAAGGATCTCATGTTGGTGTACATAAAATTACCTAAAAACAATATCACAAAAGGAAAAAAAACTTCAAACAGTACAATGGGGAGGTAGGAAACTATATCAACCAGCTAAAAACCCCTTATTTAAATTAAAAACGGTAAAATTTAGCAAAGTGTTCTAAAATGCCAGTGCAGGTATTTTTTTAAACCAGTCCAGAAACTGTCTCCCCCATCGGTGGGGCCAGGTTTACCTCCTATGGGGGGACATTCCAAAAGCCCTGGTGGTTCCCAGATCCCCAGATTTCCCCATTAGTGCCATCACCAGAAGTGGACCCCCAACTGCAGTACATTCAGCTCTGTCTTAGTGCTGCAGAACCCAGGACAGCCATGGACAGCTTCCTCCATGAATTTGCCCAGTCCCCCTTTAAAGTCATCCAAATTTGTAGCCGTCAGAGAACCTTGTAGTGGCAAATTCCATGGCTTAGCTATGGAATATGTAAAGTCCTTCTATTTCTCTGTCCTGAATCATCCATCAGCCAAATTCAGGAGCTCACTCCAGGTTCCAGCATGACATCACTGTTTCCACACCATGCATAACTTCGCACATCTCAGTTATCTGCACTTACGCGCCTATTCTCAAAGCAGGACAGTCCCAGGCATGGCGACCCCTCCTTGCATGGGGCTGTTCCAGTCCCTCGTTCACGCTGGTCGCACCCGGTTCCTATGTCTCTTATCCCCTGATTGGCCATCAAGGCTGCAGCTGCTCTGGGGAAGGCAATGGTTAAGGCACCGGCAGCCTGCTCCCGCTTCCTGCTGAGCACTGATTCAGCATCTAGAGCCCCAGGAGTGCTCTGATCAACGAACAGTCAGCTCCTCTGATCCCACACGGCAGGAAAGAGCTGGAGGGGCACGGACTGGCTGCCCTTGCCACTGGCGGAAGGCACAGGCCCCGCTGGAGCAGCAGTGAGGGCAACCAAACACGATGTGAAAAACAGACGCAAAAGATCAAGCTTCTGCTGGCGATGGTGAGAAAATTCAGACATGCAGGCCTGTCTAGATGGAAATAGTGCATTGTCCATGAAACAGGGGCATACAAGGAGCGGCATGCACCCAGGTTCCATTGTCACAGTTGCCTAGAGGATGACGCTTGAATTTGGGTAGTTCTCCACAATCAGGGGCAGGCGAGATGTCTCTGGATACCAGTTAGTGGGCAAGAACAGAAGGAAAGAGCTATTGCGCACACGCCTTGCGCTGGCAGGCCAGCACAAGACATCTCACTGTCTGGGGTGGATGATGAGGCTACAGCTGCCCCATTCCATGCACAGAAACCAGCGGGTGGTGGAAACTTGCTTTGGCCCTGGCAAAGGGACAGAGCCCTGAGAGCAGCGTTCCACTTTAGGGTGTTCAGGACAGGATGTGTAGCAGAGACTAATGAGGGGGCTTCCTCATTTTGCCTAATGTCAGGGCCGGCCTTGTGTTGTTGCCTTCCCATTGGAACCTAGTGGCTGCTGTGGAAAACAGAATGCAGGACTAGACAGGTTTCTGGCATGTTCCAGCACATGTCTCTTCTTAAATTCTTGTCATAACTGGCACACACAATTCACGTTAGTTCCCATACAGAAATGAGCCAGTGCAGGAGATTGGTCTTGTGCACAGCATCTATAATTCAATGGCTAGTGCGGGACACAGACAACTCCAGCTCAGATTCCTGCCCTTCGTCAGCTCTCAGGGCAAGTTATGATCTCCCCAAATGGTTTGGAATTGGGACACTGAGAGAACCACTTCCTCCCGTTAGATCCTGCCTGTCCATCCATGGCGTTCAATATTCTACTTGGAACCCAGTTGAGCATTTTGGGGGGAAATAAATTGACTTCACTCCAACCCCATGTTTTTTGGGGTGGGAATTAATATGCAGAAGACATGCCTCCTAGGGGTTCCCGGGCAAGCAGCCTGCAAAGCTCCAAAGCAAGAGCTGCAGGGGCTACAGAGTTATGAGGACTGAAAATGAGTTGGCAGCTTTTTTTCACAGGGAAGCCTGGAGTGGCCGCCTCACAGTCCCTCCTTGCCCACCCCAAAAGCTGCTGTACACCTAACTGGGGACCTTGGGGCCCAATGCCTGGGCCCTGGAGCCTGGGGCTCCAAAGGACCAGCTAAGGGGGTGCAGGCAGGGAGGGCCCCACGGGCAGCAGAAGCCTCCTGCATCCGTTCTGGAAGCCAAGATGGTGCTCCGACTTGAGTCTGAAATGCAAATGTGCACATGCTCAGAGGTCATTGCTTCTTATGTCAGGATTCAAAGAATCGCACAGTTGGAAGGGGCCTCGGAGGCCATCAGGTCCACCCTCCTGCTCAGTGCAGCACTCAGGTCTCCCACCTGGATTCTAATCAGGGCTGACCCCATGTAGCTTCCACAATTAGGCCAGATCAGGCTATACGGAAGCAGGATCCAGACTGGTGAAAGTTCTCTTCATTGGAGTCTGAATGTATCAGGAATCAGCCATCCCTTCTGATGCCTCCAATGGGAAGGAAAAGACTGACACCCGCCCTCTGGCATAGGCAAGAGGCCCAGTTCTGGGGCCTCACGGGAGAACAGAGTGATCTTGGACCGCAGCAACAGAGCAGTGCAGGGGGCAGATTTAAGCCGGAGTACCAGGAGCTCTTCTCTGCTGGGGGTCCAGAGACTTGGAACTGCACTGTAAC